TACAGCTCCTATCACGCACACATTTGCCAATCTAAGCTCGTTATCTGGAATGAATATCACTCATTTGCCATCTGTTAAACTCGACAGAATCAACTTCCTTCTATGGAAAAACATGATCATGCCCATAATCAAAGGGCACAACCTCGATGGATATCTACTGGGGACAAGGGAGTGTCCTCCAGAGTTCCTAGCAACTCAAGTGACCACTGAAACCACTGCTGGACAGGAAGAAGCAGTAGAAATGACAAAAAATCCTGAGTTTATCAAATGGAACTCAGCTGATCAGCTACTAATGGGCTGGCTATATTCAGCAATGACCCCTGAAATTGCGATGAAAGTCATGGGGTGTGCAAGTGCAAGCAGGCTGTGGAAATCAGTAGAGGAAAGTTTTGGAATACTTAACAAATCAAGAGTGATGTTCCTTACCGGAGAACTGCAGAGAACCAGAAAAGGCTCTATGTCAATGGATCAGTATTTGTCAGCCATTAAGCAGTTGGCTGATAATCTAGAAATAGCTGGAAAGGTTATAGATCAAAGCGATCTGATAACACAGGTTTTATCAGGCTTAGATGATGAGTACACACCAATTGTTGTACAAGTTAATAGTAGAGAAAACATATCGTGGCATGAACTATCCTCTGTTCTTATGACCTTTGAAAGTCGCCTTGAACATCTAAATCAGGTTAGGAACAACCTAACTTCATTGAGCATAAATCAATCAAGTGTGCAACTAGCACACAGATCTAATAGCAGAGGCTTCAGAGGTACCAACAGTGGGAGATTTTCAAGTTTCAGAGGCAGATCAAGAGGTAGAGGTAGAACCTCAACTGGGAGACAGAACGATATCAAAGGACCCTGCCAGATTTGTGGCCTTAACAATCATTCTGCGAGCTGGTGTTTCAATAGATATGATGAGAGGTTTATGGGAAGTAGACCAAGTAACCAAGGGTCACAGAATCTCAACTCAACTCCCTCTGCATATATAGCATCACCTGGAGTTCTTGAAGATCCAGCCTGGTTCATTGACTCTGGAGCAAGCAATCATGTCACCACAGACAAAGGTAACCTGCAAACCGTAAACAAGTACGAAGGTAAGGAAAAATTGGCTGTTGGTGATGGTAGTATGCTGCACATTTCACATATAGGAAATGGAAAATTACTCACAATGAATGATAGGCCTCTAGCATTGAAAAAATTGCTTCATGTTCCCTCAGTTAAAAAGAATTTAGTCAGCATCTCACAGCTCACTTATGATAATAATGTGTTCGTTGAATTCTATTCTAACTATTGTGTTATTAAGGATCTTCAAACGAGGAGGATTTTACTGCAAGGAGTGCTTAAGGAAGGGTTGTACCAGTTGCAGCAGCCAAGTCACAAACCAGATTACTTAGTCCCTCACTGTTTTACAGTAGAGTCAGTCAGTAGATCTTCGTCTCCAGTTAAAGTTTTAGAGTCTGAACTTGATGTATGGCATAGACGTTTGGGTCATCCCTCAGATTATGTAATGAGTCAAGTTCTAAAATCGTGTAATAAAGTTATCAAAACCAATGNNNNTAAAGTTATCAAAACCAATGAAATCCCTTTTTTCAGTGAATCGTGCAAGTTTGGGAAATCACATGCTTTACCGTTTAACATCTCTTCATCACATGCTGAAAATCCCTTAGATCTTGTCTACACAGATGTCTGGGGACCTGTCCCATTAAAATCTACCACAGGACATAGGTTTTACATAATTTTTGTAGATGATCATTCCAGATTCACATGGATATACCCCATGAAACACAAGTCAGATGCCTTGACCACCTTCATTCACTTCAAAAAATTGGCTGAAAATCAACTAGATAGGAAAATCAAAACATTACAATCTGATTGGGGAGGGGAGTTTAGGAATTTCAACAAAATTGCCTTAGATTCAGGTATAGAACTAAGACATTCCTGCCCTCACACATCAGCTCAGAATGGTAGAGTCGAACGAAAGCATAGACACATTACAGAAGTTGGCTTAACCCTTTTGGCTCAAGCTCGAATGCCCCTTCATTACTGGTGGGAAGCATTCAAAGCTGCTACGTTTCTAATTAATAGACTACCCACACCAGTACTCCATCACAACTCACCTTTCCAGAAGCTATTCAAGAAAGACTTTGATCATAAACAGCTTAGAGTCTTTGGCTGTGTATGCTATCCAAATCTTAGACCTTATCAAAACCATAAGTTTGATTTTCACTCTGAAAGATGTGTGTATCTTGGTCATGGTGATTCACAAAAGGGTTACAAATGTCTGAGTTCCAGTGGTAGATTGTACATTTCCAGACATGTTGTGTTTAATGAAAATGAATTCCCGTTTGAGTCAGGTTTTCTGAACAAAAGAGTCAAATCATACACTTATGAAAATACTCTGAGTCTCCTTCCTATCATAGATATCAGTCACAAACCTTCATCACAAAATTCAACTGCTATAACCCAACCTGATGCCTCACCTTCAGCAGATCCTCTTGATGAAGATAGAAGAACAAATGAGGGAGTTAATCCAGAACCTCAGTATCACTGTGATGAGGTAGATACAATTGAACCAGTTGCTTCTGAAACTTTTCAAGGTCAGCAAGATGAAATTGAAACGCAGAATGAAGCACCTGCAGAGAACAGAAATATGGTTTGGAACACAGAACATCAAATGGTAACCAGAAGCAAGGCTGGAATTTT